CTATTGATAATTTCACGCTTTTTATCTACTTTAGAACTGATGTGTAAACAAATTACACGCATTATTGATCGACCAGCCAAAGATTGCTAGGGACGAAAGGGGGAAATGCGATGAAAAAACCTTACCATTAGACGATTTTATATGGAGTCATAGGCGGAGATCGGAGAGACTTGAATTATTAATTGAATTTATATTTTATTACAACTGGTAGTATTAATATTTTTTTGCGATTCATAATGACGTGATACCAAACATACATTATAAGAAATAAATATACACAAACACTGAATATTGAGAACAAAATAAATATATTTTTTAGGCAACAAGTAATATTCCTATGTACGCATTATGATTGAACAGCAAAACAAATTATGCATTCTTCTAAAATAGAATACAACAAGTCAAAAATATCTGACTGAATAGAAAAATATAGGAAAACAAAAAGTAATTTCTTGATGAAATAACCCATAAACAACACATAGAATTAGACTTTCTACTGAGATACTAAAAGCCACAAACCAATAGTATAATAAATGAATATCTAAAAATTCTAAAAGGTAGCCAATCTAGTATAGTTTCAATCCTGATTAGAGTCATGATCACTGTCTGAGGAACTGTCATTGCTATCACTTTCACCTCCTATGTTGATTATTATTTCTTCCTGTATTTCTTGAATGAGACTGTCTTTTTCCCAATATTCATCTTCAATTTTTATAACATGTCCAATAACCTTTTGCCAGTCACTGGCACTTACTGAAGCGATGGCCTTATTAGAAATTTCATCTAGTTTTTTTATAGTAAATTCGCCGCTTGTATTATGGCTTCTAATGAAAAATTTTACTTGTGCCCAAATCATCTCTATGGGATTAAACTGACACATATAGGGTGGCGTTCGAAGTGGGGTGTGTCCGAAACTTCTTATTAAATTATCTATCTTATAATTTTTCTCATCAGATGGTGGCCTATGTAGACAAGCTATTTCATAAAGCTCCATTTTTTTAGCATTAGGATCATGCTCTATACCTTTTTTGCTCAACCACGTGATGATGTCTCTTTTTAGAGAAGATCTAGTTGGAGGCTTGTCTTCCAAAGCTGAATGGTAAGGTGCATTATCCATTATTATAATACTATTAGGAGGAATGTTAGGAAATAGTTTTTCAGTAAGCCACTTCGTGAAATTTTCTTGGTTCATTTGACCGTGATAATCACCAGTGGCACAGCCAGCCTTGAAAATGAGACAGGCTCCAGGAACAAAACCATCTTGCGAACCCGCATGAACAATTATAAGTCGTCCTGGAAATGAATAAATAGCCTCATTTTAGTGTTATTTTAAGTTTGCCAACACCTTTTTGAATCACTATGTATAAAAAACATATTTTTGAGAAAAAAATACTTGCAAGGGATTATGTATTCAATTAGACAAATTAAATGAGCACTTATTAAGAATATTCCAAAATTGAGAAAAATGTATAATAAGCAAAATCGAGGTGAAAGAAACTTTATTACCTGTAGAACTTATATTGCTCAGGACACCCATAATTTCTTCGCTTTGCCAGCATTTCTTGAAAGTGAGGTCATTATCAACCCAAGTTTCGTCCAAATAAATAATATGCCTTCCTTCTTCCCGGAACTTTTTAATAGACCTAAGATACTTGTATCGCCAATGTAAAATACTGGGTCTTTCCATTAGTAATTTCCTTTTGTTGTGGCATTTACGCCAGTAAAATCCTTTTGCTTTTAAAAGCAGCCTCAACGATTCTTTACCAAATGGAAATTCCATTTCTTCCTTCAGTTTGATTAGAAGTTTACTACAAGTAGGTACCACTTTAAAATCACAGTAAAATTTTTCTATCATTCTCCGAATAATGGAAAAATCGACTCCATCAATTTTTTGGATCACAGAAGGGCGTGATCTCTTTTTTCCGGGAGAAGCTAAAGGCTGTGTGGAGGTTGCATTTTGCCTGTCTTTATCTTCTTTTCTAATTTTACTTATAGTTCGTTCACTAACACCCGTATAATATGCCGCCCTTGCATTTCTAGCTACCAGTGGATAAACGAAAGTATTGTTAGCCGCTTCTGCATCGCAAGCACGTATCACGTTTGCTATTATTTCCCTTGCCTGGCTGTGAATAACTTTCCCATGCTTGAATTCCATTATCACCACTAAACAGTAAATTATATTTTCAAAGTATTTGCCAACTGCCTACGCCTATGGGAGTAGGTTTATAAATGACCGTGCCATCGGCACGTTATTCTAGTTTCAGATAAGATAAGAGTTTTGGACCAATCAGCGACCGGATGTTTACCTGCGGCCTGGGTTTTCCAGCTACATTGCCAAATTCAGCGGAACAATTCTATATCTTAAATATGTTAATATGTATGGACCGCATTTTATGTAGAACATCTGACAACTTCGCAATTTTTTGTCCGCATTCTTTCGGCTTGCAATCTTTCGCTGGTCCAACATTAGTTCAAAAAATCTTATCCAAAAAATAATATGCATACATACCTATCAAAGGAATTTCCTTATGACGAGCTGATATAAACCATTCATAACACAATTTGTCAATCGTAAGGCAACTAGGAATTTATATTGAAGTCTCAGGTATAAGGTAGCTATACCTAATCCACATCAAGTCACAAATATCTAAACCATTAAGGTACCTACCTGCTGAATACCCATATACAGGGTGTTCCTTAATGATATGCGAATATTTGACGCTGTTAGACTACATGAAAAATTAATGTTAGTTTGCTTTATAAACTATGGACCAAAAATGTTTCCTTACAAAAACTCGGGGTGTTGAAGTTTTAGGAAAAACCTGGGAATTAATTAATATTTTCAGAACTGCTTCAGATATTTCACTGATATTTAGTATGTAGTGAAAGTTAATAAAGTTGCATATTTTTCAATGCAAAAATAATTTTTAGCTCCAACAGTGGCGTGAGTACGGGTATTGACATATTTTTTAAGAAAAAAATGGTACGCCAATGGTTAACAATTCGAGAGAGATCATTTGTTTTAAGTTGAACGGGGAATTTTTATTTGGCAAAAAACCATTGGCGTACCATTTTTTTCTTAAAAAATTTAGAAGTCAATACCCGTACGCACGCTACTGTTAAAGCTAAAAATTATTTTTGCATTGAAAAATATGCAACCTCATTAACTTTCACTACGTACTAAATATCAGTGAAATATCTGAAGCGGTTCTGAAAATATTAATTAATTTCCATTTTTTTTACTAAAACGTCAACACCCCGAGTTTTTGTAAGGAAACATTTTTGGGCCATAGTTTATAAAGCAAACTAACATTAATTTTCCATGTAGATTCACACCCTTAAATATTCGCATATCATTAAGGAACACCCTGTATATGATTGAAATTGTTACCCATTTCTGTCAAAATCATAACCAAATTTTCGGGCAAGTATTTTCAGGGTATTGACAAACAATTTCATTGTCCGTTACTAATCGTAGATATTTGTGCAGTTACCTACATATTTTGTACAAACTAACGGGTGATTTTTTAAGAGGTATAGGATTTGATTTTCAAAAAATTTGAAAAAACGATTAAATCTTTATTTGAGTCGATAGAACGGTCGATATAATTTAATGTTTAAATATTATTTCATGTAAATGTTGGCCGCGGCTCCGCTTTAGATGGCCCATGCGCAAGGTCCAATTTTGGCACACTCTCTCCAACGTATCGGCCGGTATCTCACGAATAAATGCTTCAATATTGGCTTTCAGTGCGTCAATCGTTGCTGGTTTGTCCCTGTAGACATTAGCCTTAACATGGCCCCACAAGAAATAGTCCAACGGCGTTAAATCACACGATCTAGGCGGCCAATTGACGGGCCCCAAACTTGAGATAAACTGTTCACCGAACTCGCCTCTCAATAGGGCCATTGTTTCGTGTGCGGTGTGGCATGTGGCACCGTCTTGTTGAAACCACATGTCAGCCAAGTCCAGCTCTTCCATTTTGGGAAAAAAAAAGTTTGTTATCATCGCACGGTAGCGCTCGCCATTCACAGTTACGTTCCGGCCATTATCGTCTTTGAAGAAGTACGGCCCAATGATGCCACCGGCCCATAATCCACACCAAACAGTGATTTTTTCGGAATGCATTGGTAGCTCTTGCAATGCTTCTGGCTGGTCTTCACTCCAGATGCGGCAATTTTGCTTGTTAACGTACCCATTCAACCAGAAATGAGCTTCGTCGCTGAACACAATTTTTCGATAAAAATGTGGATCTTCCTCCAACTTTGCCAGCGCCCATTCACCAAATTGGAAACGTTGTGGGAGGTCGTGCGGCTTCAATTCTTGCACCAGCTGTATCTTATAAGGTTTTACACCCAAATCCTGTTGCAAAATTTTCCACGTAGTGGAGTAACAGAGGCCCAGTTGCTGCGAACGGCGGCGAATCGACATTTCACGGTCATCACTAACACTGGCGGATACAGCCGCAATATTTTCTTCAGTCCTCACTCTACGTCTGCGTGTTGGTGGTTTAGTGTCCAATAATGTAAACTGGGTTCGAAATTTAGTCACAAGCTTTCGAATAGCTCCCTCAGTAGGCCGACCAAATTGCCCATAAATTGGAAGCAGTGCTCGATGCACTCTCTTAACCGAGCATGAATTTTGATAGTAAAATTCAATAATTTGCAAGCGTTGTTCGTTCGTAAGTCGATTCATGGTTAAATTATAGACCAAACTGAACAAGTTTGACAATGACACAAGACACGATTCACGCGTCATCTGTCAAAAACAGTGTTGCCAAAAAGATACTAGCAAAAAAATCACCCATTATATATGATTTATTTAGTAAGTTAGGCACAGAAAAATTAAAATTATGATGTAAAATAATACCTTATTTTCAATAAAGAAAATCTACGCCTATGATTTACTCCAGAACTTTGTCTAATCTCGGATTATCTGGCCCACTGTGCAATGGTACCCTTTATAAACATATTTCTCGAAACCTATTACGAAGCACTGACTGATTTCTTATGACGACGCTGATCGCTGTATAGACGTAGACACTGCTCTGTAGAGACAGAGCAGCTGTTCTGGCGAGTGTGGCTTTCCTCTTATCGCGTTATTCTGTTGCTCAAGCGATTTTAGCCAATGGACTGTGATACTCACCGGGAAACAATGACAATAGTTCGTGTCGAGGATATACATCGATGTTATATTAGGTTTTCCGTCGACCGTGTTTGTGATGGCGTTTTAGAGGTACGTAAGGGCTACGAAAATTCTGCGTTTATTTGTCGTTTTTATTGGTTTATCAAAATATTATATTGAACATAAATTGAAGGGTACAGGGGACAAAAGATGAATGTCAGAAAATTGATGTTTTGTTGTTAGAACCTGCAACGTAGTCTTAACACGCAAAAATAATCACATTGCTTAGTTATGTCCAATTGAAAACTTGCCGTGAAGGGAAACAATATGAGTGTCACAGCCGTTGTATGAAAAGAAAAAATGACCGTCCACTGATCGTCATCGAAGCTAGTAGCTGCTACAACAATTTACCATACTCCAGTCTGCGACAAGAAATAAACGTTAAGTAATCATTTTTAAACAGTTACCATTAATGTTGTTTTGTTTGTTCTATTACTCTTTTAAATAAAGCTTTTTTTGGTTCATTATTTTTTCTAGTCCCAATTTAAAAAATACTAATAATTCTGTCTTTGAGCTATTGAGGTTAGAAAATCACATTGTTCTTATATTTTAGGCCACGTGTAATAAATTTCTTGTTAAGGTAGTTCTTACATTGGAACATATCGTAAAATTTAGGCATTTTGCTGGTTAATCAACACTTAGATTTTACAGGATGTCACATATGACGAAAGGTTCATTCGTAACCTCAATATCTTTAAAAAATTGAATTTAGGCTTGGACGCTAACACACAAAAATGTTTAAAACCATAAGGGGAATCTCAGAACACAAAAATAAAAATGATTTTCCGGTAAAAAATGTTGCTTCGCTTTAGGGCTACCCTGTATATAAAGAAATTATTTATAATTAACTTTTTTCAATTCCTGATAATAAGGAATATATGGTACTCCATCAGATGTTTGACCCACCCTGTACAACGAGTCTAGGAGTCTGCTAACTTTTAAATTCATTTATCTCGAAACTTACTTTTGTGGCATTCATCTTTTTTCCCGTTTTCCCTTCAATTGTTTCTTAGACTTTTTGCTTGTATTAAATCGATGAAAGAAATTTTAAAGAAAATGATCATCTGCTTGTTGTATTACAACTGTAGGACACACAGCTTTGACGTGGAACAGATCTTCAATAGATTTATCCGATTCCGGGCGAGTATTAATTCGTGCGATAGAGAAACAGTTTAGTAGATGTCACTACACAACATTTTCTAAAGCTGGTCAGCCAAGAAATTCTTCGCCTTCCACTCGGGTATCACGTAGCTTGAAAACTGACGTTATGCCGATTTTTTTTGACCTTATGCTGGTTTGTTTATCTACAAGATATTAACGTAGCACTTAGTTGTACGTGTTGCCTAAACGTCATGAGGCTTGTTATCGATCTTTGGCTCTGATGTGATGTAAAGTCTGCTTCGGAGATGCCATTACTGGAGGCCTAAACTGTAAGTTGTATGTTGATTTTTTTTTGCACAAGTCTTATGATGGGTTGAAGTGTTCAACTTCGCGATTTTTTTAAAAAGAACCTAGTGAAAAAAATGAAAAAGTGGCTCTATAGCAGCACCCTGTGTGGTTTTGTTTTCAGCACTCTGCGAAAATTTCATCCAAAAATATCAAAAAATAAAGCGTCAATTTCGAAGCGCGCATACCTCTACAAATCGTATTTTGGACGAATTTTGTCTACTGTTTCGTGCTGCCAACCCAAGCGTTGCGGCGCAATCTACGGACTAAGAAAGGACGTATTCAGATAATTTGGTGATCCTATTTCATATAATATCGCGTAGATAAGTCGTTCTGCAAATAGGTATACTTTATCTGAAGTCACTTGAAACACTGTGAAATAACGGGTGCGTTTTATATATCTATATTTAACACGCTCTGTTGCTGCAAAAATCGCCAAATTTCGCAGCAAATATCCCCCGTATAAGATCAAAGGCAGTTTCACCGGTCCACGTGGAGTAAATCACGCCTATGCGTGGACATAGCCAATGAGAAAGCGTGTATTTCAGAGCTCCGAACAAGTGCAGGTGGCTACTGAAAATTGAAACAGTTTAGCCAGTGACGTGTAGCGGTGAATAAACGTGTTTTCTTTAGTCTGTCCGTGTTTTTTCATAGATTTTATTAGTTTGTGTGTTTTTGACTTTTGAATACTCTGTTTACTTGTTAATTTAATTGTTGTGTTGATTGTTCTTGTGTGTCCTAAATATGGCTCTTTGGAGACCTTGGGAAAATGCTCCAAGCCACGAGGAGATGGTTGATGAACCTGTGCAGGCAGAATTCTTTCATAAAGATTTAGAGGAACAGACCCAAAGAGTAATCCTAAATATGTATGGTTGTCTGAAAAACGAAAATCCAGATTCCTCGCAAAATCAAATTTTAAACAGAATTTGTATCCTGACAAAAATCAGTCGGTCTACCATTTATCGGGTTATAAAAAGGGGAGATGTAGTCAACCATTCCTTCCACAGAAAGCGCATAGGGCAAAAATTAAAAAGAATAGACGTGGGTTTTCAGGAAGATATTCGTCGTATAATATACAGATTTTATAAAGAAAATTTGGTGCCCACGTTGGAAATGATACGGGATAAATTAAAAGATTATCCTGAAGATTTTTATAATTACAAATGCTTAGACTCACTGCACTGTATTGTAAAACTGTGTGGTTTTCAATACAAAAAATTAGATAAAAGAATGGTGATTATGAAGTCGTCTCGAATCGTTGAATTGCGCCAAGAATTTTTGCACAAAGTTAAAATCTATAGAGAGCAGAAAAAAAATCTGATTTACCTGGATGAAACGTGGTATGATACCCATGATGTTGTGCAGTACGGCTGGGTTGACGACAGCAACAAGTGCATTTTAAATGCATCATGCAACCGTGGAAAACGAATCATTATTCTCCATGCTGGCAGTGAAAATGGATTTATACGTAATGCCTTGCTGTTATCTGCCAAAAATATCAAAGAATCATGTGCCGACTATCATGAGGACATGACCTCCGACTTATTTGAAAAGTGGATAGAGCAGCAGTTAATACCAAACATTTCCCCAAATTCAGTGATTATTATGGACAATGCGCCATACCATTCCCGACAGAAAAACAAAATTCCGAATACAGGCACAAAAAAACAAGACATTATTGATTTTATGAAGGATAAGGGAATGGAAATACCACAAAAATCAACAAAAGCCATATTTTTGGATCTTATTAAAAGACAAAAATTTGAAAAAGAGTATGTTGTTGACAATCTGCTTCAGCAAAATGGCCATGAAGTATTACGTCTACCTCCCTATTACTGCATTTTTAACTCGATTGAATTGGTCTGGGCTGCTTTAAAAAAAAAGTAAGAAAACATAATCAGACCCCTCAATTAAATGAATCGCTATTGGCCACAATAAGAGATGCAGTATCTCATATTGCTGCCACAGACCTATGGAAGCAGTGTTCTAGGCATATTATTGAAAAAGAAAATGAATATTGTGTTTTGCCTCCTGTAAATCCCGTTGTAATTCCTCTACAAGATGACTCTAGCGACAGCTCCGAAGGCGAGGATGATATATAAATACCTATAATGTAAGTCTTTATATAACTTTTTATATACCTACCTGCTATGTAAATATTTGCCTATGTCAAACGTTGGAATTCTGTAATTTTTCCATTTCTTAACTTTCAGTCAACATAAATTAAACTCCCAATATAAGTATTTTTTATCCCAAATCAAAAAAATAAGAAGATAGTAAAATCCATTTATTGTGATATAAAAACATTATTATTATCGTTCTAAATAAATGACCGCACGCCTATGATACGTCATAAAATTACAAAGGACGCGCCGACCAAAGGTTTTTATGCTATTTCAAGTGACTTCAGATAAAGTATACTCATAATCGCGATCGCTGATACTCCTCGAGTTTAAAGCCGTTTTACTTCCCATGTCATTGGCGAGGAAGTATTGTATTCGCGAAAAATTTATAAAATGTGATGTTTTTTTAAGCCATATGAAATCTACATCACGAAAAACTGTATCACTCATCATCAACTTGGAAATTACCGCTCGGACTTTTATGAAATTCCACACGGGGTTACTAGTATGCCAAAGCTTTGTCGTTTTAGTCCATTGGCAACGGTGCTATAAGCAAAAAAGAAAAAGTAACAATTGCTGAAACTCCGTTTTTGACGTTTCACGGGGGTTCGTTATCATTGACATAAAAAAAATTGTACTGCTTAAGAAGGAGGGGTTGAAATCGGTGAAACACGTTCTATTACTAAGAAGCTTCTGATCCCAGTGATTACAGGAAATTTAAGGGGGCCTCGGTTGGCCGCGTTGGTCAGAGTGTCGTGCTACTGATCAGCCGGCCGGCCGGGCCGCGAGTTCGAATCTCGCCTTCGCCATGGATGTTGTGACGTCGTGTGTTTGTCCATAATTAGAGAAATATAAGTAACACACATCTGTGGCAAATGGATAACTTCCAATGCCAAACAAAAAAAAAAAAAAAGGAAATTTAAGTATCGAAAATCCGACGTGTATGTGCTCACGATTTGAAAAAATCGATACCTGCTCTATAGGTTTGACACCCAGATCTGCAACTACCGACAGTAGGGAAGAATAAATTCGGATATCACTCCAGTCAAGTATAGGGGAATTCAGCGTGAAATTTTAAAATTATCGATATGTCAAGGAAATATGTTTTTGAGAACGATCATTTGGTAGATTTTATACCTGCATTTTCATTTGAATTTCATAACCCGTGAAATGTACCCATTTCGCCGTTACCTTTTGTATTCTGTAGTTTGTGATTTTTTTCTGGATATAATCAGGCCATAATTGCCTAGGGTGCTATCAGAGCTTTTTACAAAATTTTGTCTTTGCGCAAGAATTATGGTGGGTTGAAATGCTTACTATTTGTGCTCAACTTCTTAATATTTTATAAAGATCCTAGTGGATAAAATCGAAAAAGTGGAACGCTGGCACCCTGTGGACTTGTTTTTAGCACGCTGCAAGAGTTTCATTTGGAAATCATAAAAAGTAAGCTGTGAAGTGCAAATCGGTTTTTGGGCGAAATTCATCTACTGTTTCGTCCTGCCAGTCCAAGCGACGCGACGGTGCGTTCCGACTAAGAAAAAATGTATTCAAATAATTTTATATCTTTCCTAAAATAAATTCAAGAACTAAAATTTAAATTCGTTTATTCATGCCAATAAACACAATTATGTTTACAAGGGTCGTGTGATAGATGGTAACAATTGAACGAGGGTCATAAAAATATCTAATGCCGTCAAAATAAGAGGAAACAGTTAGCTAGTTTTTGCAAAGCAATAAACAAGTAGGCTTATACCTGGATTAAGTACATGACTTGTCTGCTGTAATAGGTAGATGGAGGTGATGCTTCCAGAAATGGATGTGTGCTATCAATAAACAAACCACAAGATTGAACTGCCGTGTCCAATGATTTTTGTATTGCCTTTTTTTATTGCCTTACTAGAAAACTCTGTTGGGTATATGATGGAGTTTACTAGAACTTTACAGCTTGTTGTCTGCCTTCTTCTACAAACTTCACCAAATCGAGACGTTGTCAACCTTATCCTTCGATGAAGATGCCACAAAGCACAGCCCTGTGATTTGGTGACTTGTTCGATATGCAAAATCTCGTCGTTACTTTTTCTAAGTTTCCTTAAAAATTCTTGCTTAGCAACCTCCAAATCAATTGCTATCCGAATTTTTAGTTATTTTTATATCAGCTTTTTTTGCTCAGAGTTTCTTTCCAAGATTCTTGAGTTTGAGTCTTTGTTCCATCTTAGTGATAAGCGAGGTTGGACTAAGCTTAGAACGCAAATGTATTTGGACCACATAGACAGGCCGCTCGGTATTGTGGCTCACTTCAGCTGCAGTACATCTTCCATAGTATGATCTCTTCTTGCAATAATTTACTCGCTTACCCCAGTGTATTTTGCGATTATATAAAGGGTGTCTCAGAAATATTTTCGTTTTTAGATCAGTCCTCTGGCGGAATACGCATGCTCCGGAGAAACGAGACAGTTGACAAACGTTTGGCAACATTGTTAAATTTTAGTTGCAATGGAGCGTTTTACAGGGCCGCAACGTGCTTTTTGTGTTCGCGAGTTCTATAAAAACAAGGATTCTTATGTGCTTGTACGTCGTTTGTACAGAAATCATTATAACGTAGCAAGAATGAGAGATGTCCCAAGCCCAAATTTAATTAAATATTGGGTAAGAAAGTTCGAGAGCACTGGAAACACGTGTATTAGTAAACCGCCTGGACGGCCAAGGTCAGCAAGATCGAACGAAAATATTGAACGTGTGCGCCAGTCCGTTAACGAGGATCCCCGGCAATCATTAAGACTGCGTGGAGCGTCTCTAACTTTGCATAAGTCAACTGTTCATCGCATTATTCGCAAGGATTTGCATTTTCACCCATACAAGATTGTTGTTACACAACAATTAAAACCACAAGATCCCGCTAATCGATTAGAGTTCTGTAGAACAATGAGAGAGCATTTTAACGGTTACAACAACATATGGTTTTCTGATGAATCGAATTTTCACATTAACTGCCGATATTGGGCCGAGCAGAACCCGCAAAATCTTCATGAGACGCCATTACACTCGCCTAAAGTTATCGTCTGGGCTGCTATGTCAGGGCAAGGAATCATTGGCCCGTATTTTTTTGAAGACAATCGTGGCCAAGCTCAAACTGTAATATCTGAGCGCTACTGCCACATGATTAGGACTTTTTTAACTCCAGCTATACAGAACCATGGTGGCTACAATAGAAACACGTTTTTCCAGCAAGATGGAGCGACTTCTCATGTCACGAATGAATCCTTGGATGCTCTTCATCAGTTATTCCCAGAGAGGGTCATCAGTCGCAGAGGAGACATTAACTGGCCACCGAGAAGTCCCGATTTGACACCAGCAGATTTTTTCTTATGGGGATACCTGAAGAGTAAGGTATACACCCCACCGCCACAAGATTTGAGAGAGTTGAAGCAAAAAATAACAGATGAAATAAACGCCATTCCTCGAGCAATGCTTCGGAGAGTGATCGAAAACTTCAGTTCGAGATTAAGAGAGTGTGAAAACATGAACGGTGCTCATTTATCCGATACTTTTCCATAAATAAAAATAATGTTTAGGCTTTCGTTTGGTAATAAATTTATCTTTGTAAAAATATTCTAAGTATTTTTATTTATGGCATAAAATAAGAAAATATTTATGAGACACCCTTTAGTTGAACTGCTCCATACTATTGTTGTCCTCATGAATTAAACTCACTGAATTCGTAATTAAAATTGTCGCATATGACCTTTTATTGTCCATTATCAACCTTGACAAAAAATTCACTCAAGAGCAATCACACCAACAAGAGTACACAACAATTCAACAACTCACTATCGACGAACAGTATCAAGGGTAGAACGATACTAAATGATCACTTGCTGAGTACCAAAATAGGAAACGATTTACAGGCTAGATCGCTAATCGAAATAAGACTCTGTTATTATAAAAATTTATCTCGGTACGCACCCGCAATCATCCTTTCCTCTTTTAAAGTAGGGCCGACGACCGTCTAACGCCGGCTCCACACGTTGGCCCCAACGCCACTCGCCCAACGTGTGTATCTAGAAAATAGCGTTGGCCCCAACGTGTGTAGTTGGCTGTAGATTGTCGGTTTTATTCAAAGGAATCTGCGCCATCGTTGGCAATCCGTCCACATATTGGCTCACTGGCTCAGTCTTGTTGTAACACGCGTCGAGTGCGTATGTGGAGATATGTCATCAACAAAATCGCTGGACAAACGAAAAAGTTTTAGAATTTTTGGAGTTATACCAGGCGCATCCAATAATATGGAACGCCTCTCGCAAGGACCATAAAAATAAAAATTTAGTAGCCGATGCATGGCGCAATATTCAACAGAATATGAAAATGATTTATTCTATTGAAGAATTAAAAAAGAAACGAGAATCATTGATGAGCACATATCGCCTATATCCAAAGAAAATTTTGGACTCTACTCGTTCTGGGTCATCGGTGGATGATATTTTTAAACCGAATTGGTTCGCGTATGATCTAATGGACAGCTTTCTTGCTCCGATTTATGATAAAACAGATACATACACGATTAATACACAGGTAAGTTAAACATCAATTAATCATTACTTTTATTTATTTACTCATGCATAAACAAAGTCATTAAATTATGACAAATTGCTTTGGTACATAGTTTATTCAATGTGAGTAAAGGTATGATGCGAATTCATTTCTTATTTCTCTTGCATTTTCGGCTGCTCTTATTGGTATTTGATCTAAGGCACATATACTAAGTGACATATAAATCCGAACACCCAGTTTAAATGGTTTTATTTTAATAAAAGTTGGTGAGTGTATTTATCTTACTGTAGATAACAAGTGAAAAAATTTTCAGCCTTATCAGTTGGACATTCCGGTTTTTATACTGCTTTTTTTTAATTCACTAAGGCTCTAAAAATGAATATTTCAGCCGCAGTAAAGAATCAACGTTGGCGGATTTTGGTTCTTGACATCCTTTACGATCGGTTACGATGCCTAGAGTACGGAGACCTGTACGATTTCGTGAACTTAGTGAGTTTGATCGGGGCCGTATAGTGGGACTTCGGGAAGCTGGACTTTCTTTTCGGGCAATTGCATTTAGACTGCAAAGAAGTGTAGACGCTGTGGTTAGGTGTTGTCAGGCATGGCTTCGAGAAGGCCGTACGCAAAGAGCAAGGGGCACTGGACGCCGCCGTAGAACAACAGACCGTGAAGATCGCCGCTTAAGATTATTGGCCCTAAGGGACCGTTTCTCCACTACCAGGTCCATTGCAAATGAATGGTTTGCAGAACACGGAAGACCTATTGGCATGCGAAGTGTTTACCGACGAATGAGAAGTTTTGGCTTGTTTTCATACCGGCCACACTGGGTCCTCCCTTTAACTCGAGAACACCGACGTAATCGCCTTGAGTGGTGCAGACAACGGTCACTCTGGGATCAGAAATGGAACAGTATTGTCTTTAGTGACGAGTCTCGATTTTGTTTAGGCATGCACGATGGTCGTGCCAGGGTTAGAAGGCGACGTGGTGAAAGGAGGAATCCACAGTTTTTTGTTGAAAGACATGTTGATCACACTATTCTAGTTATGGTTTGGGGTGCTAAAGCTTATGGTTCCAGGTCACCTTTAATCTTCATCAGAGGTAACATGAACGCGCAGCGTTATATCCACGAAGTTCTAGAACCCCATCTTTTACCCTATCTTGACACCCTGGCAGAACCAACTTTCCAACAAGATAATGCCCGACCACATGTTGCAAGAGTCACAATAGACTTCTTTCAACATAATGATGTCACATTGTTACCATGGCCACCAAGATCTCCCGACTTATCCCCAATTGAGCACGTGTGGGATATGATGGGTAGGAGATTGCTCAATTTGCAACGTCCTCCTCAGACTCTAGAAGCACTTCGAGAGAAGTTGGTGGTTGCCTGGAATGAGATACCACAGGAGGACATTTACTACCTGATCAGAAGCATGCCTAGGCGCGTTCGAGAATGCGTAGCACATCGGGGTGCATCCACACATTATTAAAGGTCAAAGGGCTTTAAAGCAGTGCAATCATTTTGAAATTTTTATCATTTACTTATTATGCTTCATTAAGTACTTATACAAAATTTTATTAAAATAAAACCATTTAAACTGGGTGTTCGGATTTATATGTCACTTAGTATACATCCGTCGAGAGTGATCGCTGTTTTTTAAAAAATTATGAAGTACAACGCAAGTTAGTGTCATAATAGATGCTTTTTCGGGTTGTTGCAGCAAATTGGTTTTCACCACTCAAAACAGCGATGTCATTCTTCCAAAATTCGACTATTGAACTTTCTATTTGCTGAGCCAGCTGCCGGTGTGCCAGAAAACGGTTTCATGATTCTTCTAGATAATCTAAAAGCTGCATCTGCCACAAAAACATAGGGCACAGGAAGATGTCGGTCAGGTAGAGAAGTGTCTTCCGGAAAATGGGAATTGGAACCATATATTTTGTTATAAAGTATGCTATCATGAAAAACTCCAGCGTCATTCATTCGTCCATGTGTTCCTACGTCGGCAAATAAAATTCACTATCAGCTACTGCTAGTAATATTATACTGAAATTGTGTTTATAGTTATAGAACTCTGATCCACTATTAATAGATGACTCTATTTTTATGTGTTTGCCATCTATAGCACCCAAACAATGTGGAAATTGACATTTTGTTTCAAAGCCTCTAGGAACTTCAAGCCATCCCTGATCATTTGGAGACATCTAAAACAGAAAAAAACATGAATATTATCCTGTGGTGTTTTGATTTTAGAGTACGAAGTTTCCTGACAAGGACAGCATTCAAGATAATTTGTCAGCTGGCGATACTTCCACACCATCAGTCAAAAAACGCAGAGAATCTGAAATTTCTGAAGCACGAGTTCAAATGAAGACAGCTGTAAATGTCCTTAAAAATATCTCAGATCGACCGCGCGTTGAAGCGGATGAGGTAGATTTATATTGTCAACTACTGGCCAAAAAGATTAAAAAATTTAATGAGCCACAAAGGGAGATAATAATGCATGATATAGACGAACTCATTTTTCGGAGCCGAATGGACTCTTACTTAAATATCAGTAGCCCTTCTAGCTGCAGCACATACTCGTACGCAAGATGTACCCCGGATTACTTGGCACCTACACCATTCCCTTCATCTCAGGTTTTACAAAGCACTGTATACCAGATTGCTAATGACTCTGGTGATTATACATACAATTGTACAACCACATTATAGCCAAGCAGAATATGTGACAGATCCTTCTACCTCCTCCACTTCTACTCAAAAGGTGGCAATTATAACGGGTGGTCCATAAGTCCTTTGAAATTTCAAATTTGAATAAAATTTAACGGGTGAGCGTGAGCGGCGCGGGCGAGGTGGAGGCAGTATCTTCAGTGTCTGGGAATTCAGTCGCCATGGAGTGTTTCACTGGAGCGGATCGTGCTTTTTGTGTGCGCGCGTTTACTCAATTTTACAAAGTGTCCAACAGCTCAAACGATTAAGAACTGGGTTGCTAAGTTCGAAGAGACTGGTTCGACGTTAGATAAACAGCGGTGGGGTCGACCAAGGACAACTTGTATTGAAGAAAACATCAACATTGTGGCACAGTCTTTTCGTCAAAATCCTACCCAGTCTACTCGTAAGCGTTCTAGTGCACTAAACGTACCCAGAACATCTTTACAGCGGATTTTAAGGAAAGATTTACGTCTGCACGCTTACAAAATTCAGTTAGTGCAGGAATTAAAAGATAATGACGCTATTCAGAGACTAAACTTTGCGAATGAAATGTTGAATCGATTTTCTTCGCTCAATAATGTGTTATTCTCGGACGAGGCTCACTTCCATTTAAACGGGCATGTAAATAAACAAAATTGCCGTTATTGGAGCCCCGAAAATCCAAGGCGTAAGCATCAGAAGCCCTTACACAGCCCTAAAGTTACAGTTTGGGCTGCTATGTCAGCGCATGGCATCGTAGGCCCTTATTTTTTTGAGGACGACAGAGGTCGCGCATTAACTGTTACTTCGGAGCGGTATGTAGCAATGATAGAAGAGTTTTTGACACCAGCGTTGCAGAATTTTCCAGGCTATAATACGCAGACCTGGTTTCAACAGGACGGTGCAACTGCCCACACCTCCAACACTTCTATGCCCGTCGTCTGTCAACTTTTTCCCAGCAAAGTAATTTCTCGAAGAGGAGATATTTCCTGGCCACCACGTAGTCCAGATTTGACCCCAAAGGACTTCTTTTTATGGGGCTACCTCAAGAGTAAAGTGTACGACACCACTCCGCGATCAGTTGATGTCCTGAAAGAAAATATCCGAAGAGAAATGGCAAGCATTACAGTGTTGACTTGCCGCGCAGTCATCGACAATTTTAGACGTCGTTTATATGAGTGCCGTGATCGTAATGGGTTGCATTTAGACGATGTGATTTTTAAAACATAATTCCCATTCAATAAAGATGATAACAAAATATAATAATTCTTCATAATGTAACTAGTTTGGTTTTATTCCTTTTTTTCCAGCTCAAAGGACTTATGGGCCACCCTTATCAAATGACATTGTTTCACAGGCACTTACTCTCTCTCACATTCAAAAAAAGAATTAAATGCTAATGAAATATTTCATTTTACTTTATAATTTTTTTTCAATAAATGTTTTTGCTTTTTAATTATGGTTTTATTTTAATTTTAATACAGGGTGCGGTAGAGAGGACGGACGTTTTTGGGATGGGTAGTACTCTCCGCCTCCGTCTACGAGAGAGGTGGGGAGGGTGCCGTTTGACTCGTGAGATCCTAGCATTATTTTACCAGTTGTCGTTATGGAGCCTTGGACGGTGAAGCACCGCGTTTTCGCCTATGAGTGACCAAGCCCACTTTCACCTAAACAGCATGGTTAACCAGCAGAATTGTCGTTATTGGGCTAATGAAAATTCCGCAACAGTTACACGAAAGACCGCTGCACGGCCCAAAAGTAACGGTTTGGTGCGCTGTATCGCAAACTTGCATCATTGGCCCTTACTTCTTCGAAGACGGTAATGGTCGTGATGTTACCGTGAACTGAACGCTACGTCGACATGGTCACCAACTTCTTTCTCCCTGAATTACGACGGCGACGTGTTCCAATCCGACGTGTGTGGTTCCAGCAGGATGGGGCGACCGCCCAAACAGCCCGTGCATCCATGGACGTTATTCGCCCTCTCTTCCCTGATCGCCTTATTTCCAGGTTTAGCGATGTTCATTGGCCTCCTCGGTCCCCAGATTTATCCATATGCGATTTTTTCTTATGGGGACACCTCAAGGCTAGAGTATACGCGAACAAGCCCCGAACTCTGGACGAATTGAAGGGCGAAATTCGCGAGGAAGTCGCCCAAGTTGAGATAGCGATGTTGGAGAGAGTCTACGCGAACTTCCAAGAACGCCTCCAGCACTGCATCAACGATTTCGGCCACCACATGCGTGATGTGATTTTCCACACTTGACTGTCTCAAATGCTATTTCCTTGTGAACCTGATTCCACCAATAAATTTGTTTTCGAGTAAAAATTAACTATTTTATGATTTTTTTAAAACCGTCCATCCTCTCTGCCGCACCATGTACAGGGTGACTTTGAAGTTGAGTCATTAATTTTCAGATAATGATTGTAGAAGGAAGATAAACCAAAATATGTGTGTAAAAATAAAAAAAAATCTTTTACCTTGTTTTATAAAGTATCCTCCCGATAAGTATTTCAGTGCGGACCTGTATTTGATCGTGAGGTCTTGGAGCACCGGCATGCCCTCCCCTGTGAGGTCTTAAGTCACCTGATTCACGAGCCCGTTGTACTACATTAACAAAGGCATGAGAGGTTGGTTGCACTCGATTGGGAAACCGATCCGCATAAATATGTACCATTTTTTATTTCGTTTGAGCCACGCAGCAAACACCACTATTCACTCACGCGTTACCGACTGATACATTAACTGAATAAAAACATCGTGATCAGCGTTTCAAATTCTTTCGTTTTTTTGTTTCCGATGCGATGAAACGATAAGGCGGAGTATATCCGTTGTTGCCAAACACGAGCACATAATATTATTATTGAGACAGGGCGGTACTCAAACTTCTGAAGGGCTATAACTTCGTTACTTTAATTTTACCACAAAAATGTTAAAGGAAAAAACATTTCTTTTGATCAGATCTACTCACTGTTAAAATGACTCAACTTCGAAGTATATAAAAAAAACTGACCTTTACAAAAGAACGCAATGCCTCACATAGCGCTTTACAGACAGTGATATAACTTGTGGGGAAACCTTGAATAAGTAATGAAGACTTTTGAATGAATTTCCAGTTGCTAAAAATCTGAGTGTCACAGCAAGGCGTACGTTAGTTGGTATCGATTCTCTGAATACCGTATCTTGCTTTTTTATTCTTGGTCCAATCAACTGTAACAGGTATTCGAAGTCTATTGAAGACATACGACAAAAGTTATCAAACTGTCCTGAGGGCTCTTGATTCAAATTATTTAGCAATCGAGTTCCATCGTAACTGAAAAATAAAATGTAGAGATAAGATAAGATAAGGATGTCTATCATGGGGATCTTGGAAAACAAAAGAGATACGAAGATGGTTAAATTAGAGAAATGCTGCGCATTTTCAAGCCTAACAATATACCGTTCAGAAAGCTTTAAAATTCCGAGTTGCTATTTAATACAGGGCATACTTTTTTACGCGACATAAAAAAAATAAAGTTGATGACGGTTTCTCCGAAACGAAACGTCGTGCGGAAAATCTCTCAACGCTGTTTTGTAGAGCTTAAAAAGTAGCCATAAGAAAGTGTCTTTTGTTTTTCCATATCTCGTTAAATAACGCCAGAAAAAAATGAAAACGAAATCGGCAAATTTCGGTTTTTTAGGCATACCTCCGGAACAACTCGGAATTTTAAAACTTTCTAAACAGCATATTGTTAGGCTTGAAATTTAACCATCTTCGTATCACTTTTGTTTTCCAAGATCCTCATGATAGACATCCTTATCGTGGACACACTGTATACACATTATTAGATAATTTAATATTAAATTGCCTTGTAAAAAGCTGCTAGAATGGAGTGTATGGTCTGTACTTACTGGTACCGAGTTTTATGATGCGTTGTCAGCCACCGTCTCCTTTGACGTGGGTTTTTCTTTTTTTTCAATAACAAATATAAATTATACGCACTCATCAGTACTGTAAAAGCGCTTAGAGCGATTTCGGTTTCGGTGTCGGACATCTTCACATTGGCTCTGACAGAAAGGAACTAGTATAATAACCAACGTGTGGACGCTTCACCAACTTAACCGACCAACGTTGGTACCAACGTTGGGGCCAACGTGTGGAGCCGGCGTAGACTAGCCCACCCTCGTTTCCTTTTCACCCCCCCGTGACCTCGGCAGGTGGTGCTCGTGATTGTAGGAGCCCCGTTAAGCAGTGATTCTTTCATTCTGTGATTACTTTGTTGCAAAAAAAAAGATAATAAACTAATTGAACTAAATATTTAAAATGTCAATAAATTAAAAAGTCCCAATAAAAAATGTTTGAAGTCACTTTTCTCCATACAATGATTGTTACATGACACCTGTATCCACTTGTGTCTTCAATTGTAATTAAAGCACGATTATAATGATTTACATTATACAGGGTGTTCGAAAAATAGATGGTGATATTTTAGGGGGCGATTCCTTTTTAGAAATATGAAAAAAAGTTTCTATAAGAATGGGTCTGGAAATGCAGTTATAAGGCTAATTTAGCCCTAAATAGTTTAAATTTATTAGGTCCAGTGGTGTCCCGAGGGGCATGTTAGCGAATATTATTGGCAAAAAAAGTACGCCACTATTTTTTGTAATTTTAATATTTGTTGTTTGATTAATCATCTGAAAATACAACTTTTTTGCCTATTGTATTTTTTTCGTATCGCACTTCGTTTTCGAAAAAAAAAAAAATAAAAACCGTTTTGTCGATGGACAAAATTGGTTTATTATTTCTAAAAAAATCACGTGCCTTGGAAAACGAAAATAGAAGTATTCGGAATACTGTCGTCCTTTTCAATTTCAGCGGCGACTTAATGAATGTGTAGCAAACAGAAGAGCTTCAACACATTATTACCATTAAGGTGGAATATCTCAGCTATTTTGCGAAATTTTGAGTTAAAATTTTAATCACTTTCTATTTATCAGTAAACCTAAAACTTGTAAGACAAAATTACAGCACTTCTAGTCGGTGTTGCATTTTCTATGTCATTCAGTATATTACCAATCGCGATCATCGTCTGTCCGACTCGTGACAGGGTTGTCATGTTGTTATTACGAGTAAAATTCGGCAACTGCTAAACTGATGTTTTACGAATTCCTTGACTGTCATCAGTCAGTGCAAACATTTTGTATTAAGCCATATTCATAGTCCTACTACTGTTTGTACATCTTATTTCTTACTAGTTTTAGATGACAGTTTTTTTTTAAATGTATAGGTACATTCATTTTTGAAATCTGGCAATTGCGGTTTTTCAGCAGCAGAGTCGCTGCCAAGAATTTCGTATTCAGGCCGTAATGTGATTGATCATATGTCCTAGATATTCTAGTTTTCCGCACTTTACATTGAGATTTGAGGCTCGCACGCGCACTTGGTACTCCTGCATAGGTAAAATTTTCCTATTCATTAAACTCACAGGATTCTTTGAAAGATTTACATCTAGAAAGCTTGTAGCGTTCTTTTCTCAGCTTCCAACAGCTACCAAGCCTACACACTGTATGCAGCTAAAAATGGAGTAAATTCTTTTCGTGGATAACTGTGCATATTTATCAAAACACTGTCAGATTCCAGGAGCAAATCATATTGCATGAAAATGCCATTCTTCTTATTGAGACCGCCAAGGCGAGTAAATTCTGCATCCATACGTATATTAAAAACAGTAAATTATCTCTCAAACATATCAAATTTGAACATCTGCTTTGATAAACGTTTGTTGCTATTTGAACTCTAAATGCGCTCAGATTAGTCAATTTTTAAATGTTGATTTATGTATATAGTAGATTCGTGAACCGTAACATTGTTAAACATACAATAAATGGACATTTCAAACGATGTATGTATCTCAAGACCAGCTCCAAAGGAATTTTGCGAGTTGCAATCCTGACTTTTAAAGAAGGATATTTTAGGTGAATTTGAATACCTCGAATTTACACGTTACTGTGAGGCTATTTTTGAACCCCTTGATGCTTTAACTGTGTAATAATCGTGATAGATGGTTACTCCATAAAATCATCATGAAAGTGAAGAGCTAATATTTGCCTCGCAACTATTTAAGGACGGTTTTGTAGCAGGAAAATCTACCACAGATGGTATACTAAGCCTAGTTAATTAAATCACCGAAAGCCTTGGTGAGAAAATTCCATCTATTTGTGTATTTGTCGATGTGAAAAAGGCATTCGATGTGAATCACAATTTACTGTTAAATATTTTAAACAAATCAGGTGTTCGTAGAAAATATATTCTTTAATGCAAAGTTATTTATCAAAGAGGCCCCAAGTGGTGAAACTATCAAAATCATACAGTAAGGAAACGTTTGTCAAATGTGGTGCACCTCAGGGTACAGTGTTAGGCACTCTTTTATTTAATATCTATTTGAATGATATATGAATTCAAAATTAACTGTGTAGGTAAAATATACTAAGTGACATATAAATCCGAACACCCAGTTTAAATGGTTTTATTTTAATAAAAGTTGGTGAATGTATTTATCTTACTGTAAATAACAAGTGAAAACATTTTCAGCCTTATCAGTTGGACATTCCGGTTTTTATACTGCTTTTTTTTAATTCACTAACGCTCTAAAAATGAATATTTCAGCTGCAGTAAAGAATCAACGTTGGCGGATTTTGGTTCTTGACATCCTTTACGATCGGTTACGATGCCTAGAGTACGGAGACCTGTACGATTTCGTCAACTTAGTGAGTTTGATAGGGGCCGTATAGTGGGACAGGCATGGCTTCGAGAAGACCGTACGCAAAGAGCAAGGGGCACTGGACGCCGCCGTAGAACAACAGACCGTGAAGATCGCCGCCTAAGATTATTGGCCTTAAGGGACCGTTTCTCCACTACCAGGTCCATTGCAAATGAATGGTTTGCAGAACACGGAAAACATATTGGCATGCGAAGTGTTTACCGACGAATGAGAAGTTTTGGCTTGTTTTCATACCGGCCACACTGGGTCCTCCCTTTAACTCGAGAACACCGACGTAATCGCCTTGAGTAGTGCAGACAACGGTCACTCTGGGATCAGGAATGGAACAGTATTGTCTTTAGTGACGAGTCTAGATTTTGTTTAGGCATGCACGATGGTCGTGCCAGGGTTAGAAGGCGAGGTGGTGAAAGGAGGAAACAGTTTTTTGTTGAAAGACATGTTCATCACACTGTTGGAGTTATGGTTTGGGATGCTATAGCTTATGGTTCCAGGTCACCTTTAATCTTCATCAGAGGTAACATGAACGCGCAGCGTTATGTCCACGAAGTTCTAGAACCCCATCTTTTACCCTATCTTGACACCCTGGCAGATCCAACTTTCCAACAAGATAATGCCCGACCACATGTTGCAAGAGTCACAATAGACTTCTTTCAACATAATGATGTCACATTGTTACCATGGCCACCAAGATCTCCCGACTTATCCCCAATTGAGCACGTGTGGGATATGATGGGTAGGAGATTGCTCAATTTGCAACGTCCTCCTCAGACTCTAGAAGCATTTCGAGAGGAGTTGGTGGTTGCCTGGAATGAGATACCACAGGAGGACATTGACCACCTGATCAGAAGCATGCCTAGGCGCGTTGGAGAATGCGTAGCACATCAGGGTGCATCCACACATTATTAAAGGTCAAAGGGCTTTAAAGCAGTGCAATCATTTTGAAATTTTTATCATTTACTTATTATGCTCCATTAAGTACTTATACAAAATTTTATTAAAATAAAACCATTTAAACTGGGTGTTCGGATTTATATGTCACTTAGTATAGTTAGTTTTGCTATATAAATGGTAAGACTGGTGTGATGTAAAGAGAATAACTTTTATAAAAGCATTCATTGTTTCAACACTAAAAGCTGAACAGTGAACTTTGGAAAAATGCATTTTCTACCCTTCACATCTACCCGATTGTTCAAATCTTTCCTTCAAAATAAACAATACAAATTTAAAAATTGCCAGAGTGGAAGGGGAATTTTTTTAGACCAACATTTGAGGTGGGGCATTCATGCAGCCTACATTTTGAAGAGAATAAGATTTGTTACATTTGTTGATTATTACACACAGGGATATTGACAGAAAATTATATGCGTACTATATATCATGCCTTAATTGAGCCACCCCGATTGTATGGTATATCAGCATGGGGCACGGCATGTCCAGTGTATTTAAACAACATAGAAGCTGTGCAGAGAACTGTTTTAAAAACTGTGTTCGGAAAACCAAATAATTTATATAACGAAACAAAATTATTTTATATCAAGCAACTTTCTTTTTTAGATACTTTTACAGCCATTATCACAAAGTTGTCAATGAGCGCGATAAAATTACACATTGCCATGATACTCAACATAAACTACGAGCAAAAACTGTGCATAAACCTCAAAGGACAATAATGAAGCGATCTTTTCTCGATTTGGCTCCAAAATTATACGAATACGTTCCCAAAGACTTAAAACAATTTCGAAATACACATAATTTTAACAAGAAACTATCAAAATGGATACGTGCAATAGGAGGACAACATATTATTGAATTCCTATCAAATGTTCCTTAAAAATTATCATCCCCTACATATATACACCTCGTTGATACATTTTTCTTTAAGTTTCTTTTAACTTTTTTGTTTTGATTTTGGAACACATTCCAAAATACAACTGATCCGTGTACAGGCATTGCCCTGTGGATTGAAAAAATTATTTAACCATTCTATGTTGCTATTGTTCTTATATAATGGAGTAAATAAATGTTTACTACTACTAGGTCAAGCAATCAAAATTATAATTAATTAAAGTATCTACATTTTTTACAGAGTCAAGAAAGTGGATCAAGAGTGAGTAGTAATTTAGAAATAACTCCACCATTACAAGAAAACAAATTAGATACAGTAAGTACCTCTGGAAAAGACAGAAGCAGAAATAAGAAGAAATCTTGGTTTAGTTTCTATCCTTCGTATAAAACAAAGTCTGAATCTTTCAAGAAAATCTTCAAAGATGTTCCAGATGAAAGGTTGATTGTAGGTAAGAGATTCACAACACTATAACAAAACTAAATGCATGAAATGACAGTATTTTTCAGTATGGCCTTGAGGTACAGATTCATGGCCATGTTTACAGAGTATGTAGCCAAGCATTTGGATAGCCATCGAGCACCAATAATATTTGTAATAATAATGATAATTAACGTCTTTTTTGTTTGTAATAATTCTACCACCTGACCCCCTTAACAATATGAGATGTGTATAAACTGAAAATTTGGTGGAAATCAATACCTGTATACAATAACGACAAAATAAAATATAATCAATGCATAAAGAAGGCATAAAGAAAACATAAGGTCATTTACCACATATGGGTTTCGCTGTTGATCAAGTAGGATTTTTGTCACTTTTTTCTTGAATTCTGGTATTGAATTAGTTTTTTAAACTACGATCTAAAGAAATATGTAATTTGATCACATTGTAAATATGTGTATTCTGAAATAGGGATGTGCCGTGGTGTGGAATTGAAAAAGGTTCTCTATATCTAATATTAATGACACGTAGGTATATTTCCTCTATGTGTGAATTTGGTTACTAAATATGACGGTGTTTTTGAATAAAGAACCCTATGTAGTCAGACTTAGGAGCTGGTACTTATACATTTTATCAATTTTCATCCATTTGAGGTCATTAACGGCCTTTGATATATGATCGTATTTTCTGAGATCATTTACAAGTTTGTAACATGTATCCATAATGTTTTGAATACGATTTCTTGTTCTGATATCTAAATAGAGATAGTAAACCACTAAGTAATACGATGTTTTTGAAAATAAGACGAATTCATACAATTGCTTTATCGCAGATTTATGAAATATAGCCTTATTTGCAAATAAAACGCTGACATTAGCGTAGCACTGAGAAATAAGTTGGTTTACGTGTTTAACAAATTTTAAGTCATCATCCATTATACCTATGTTCTTCGAATGATGCACAAGTACGTTTTTTGGTTAACTTTTAAAATTATGTTCATTTCCTTTTTTATATGCGTATACCAATATATTTGTCTTTAAATGGTTCAAACGACGATTACGAGTACTACTAAACTTTTCAATTTGGGCAAGATCTTGATTAATTTTATTGAAAAATTGTATTATTCATGATCATACCTGTTTGTAAATTAGAGATATATAATGAAAATAACACAGATCCCTGTGGTACACCAGAACAAACTTTTTGTGCGATAGAGTACTGTGGATTTAGAAGAACTTTTTGAAACCGATTTTCAAGGTAGGTTTAACCAAACGAACGAGTTTTTTCAGAAAATCCATAATAACTGCATTTAGACACAAGAAGTGAAATATTAATTGTATCAAATGCTTTAGTAAAGTTCAGAAGTATGAGAGCTACTGATTTTTGTTTGTCAAGCGACTTTGTTATATAATTTGTTAAATCACAGAGTGCCGAAGCTGTATTATGACCTTGTTGAAATCCAGATTGTGTGGATCAAATAATTTTGTTAGAATATAAGTAGGCACAGAGCTGCTCGTAAACGCGTTCCAATACTTTTGAGAAAATAGGCAGTAAACTGATCGGTCTCAGTTGGCCATAATTAGTATAATCAGAACACTTAGGTAGCGGAACAATTATAGCGTGTTTCCACTGATCTGGGAAATACCCCCTCTCTAAACAGCAGTTGATTATATGTCTTGAGTACATATCAATTTCAGATATACATAGTAGTATCATATGCAAAGTTATGCAATCTGAACCACTAGAATTTTATTTTATTTTATGACTGATTTTAAAAACGGTATCAATTTTCACTTTATTAAATTGAAATTCGGATTTTAAGTTATTGTTATTAGCTTGGTAACATGCAATTTTATCAGCTCACCTCAAATCACGGTTCTAAAAATTGAAATACATGCCTCATTTATTTTACGCAGATCTGATAAACTCACGGAAATTGTAGAATCTTTTTGAGATTGGACTTTATCATATCCTGATCTTGAACAGCTTGTTATTAATATGTTTTTCCTGTCCGCACGAGTTGTGTTGTTTTGTGGTTTTCAAGCTATGTATATTTTTGAAAAAGATTAATAATGGTTAGAAGCTATTTGTTGTCAATTGAGAATTCCGTAAAATAAATAAAAAAATTGCTAAATTGGTATTAAGAGGCTTGGACTCACTGAATAAATCGCTAAACCTAGAAATATGAGTAATCTCGTTTTAGAGCTCTAGTCAAAATTCTTTTAAGAATCCGGTATATAATACCTACTCTTTCAACAGTGCATACATGCTAGATATTTAATATGACAGCTTACCTACACTTCAAATTTTCCAGAACTCTCATGGAATTTGCTATTAGGTTAAGATTTCTTTTCCAAAGATAATAATATTACACTCTTTTTTTGCTGCAGATTATGCCTGTGCATTACAGAAAGAAATATTGGTGCAAGGTCGATTGTATGTAACGCAAAACTATTTATGTTTTTATGCTAATATTTTTGGATGGGAGACTAATCTCACGTTGAAATGGAAAGAAGTAACTTCGATCACAAAAGAAAAGACTGCACTAGTCATTCCGAACGCTATACTCTTATGTACCAAAGAAGAAAAGTAAGTATTTAGTTGAGTAGAACAAAAAGCAATGAAGTATAATTCATATTGCTTAAAGGTCTTATGACAATTTATAACAGCTCTAAGAGTTACAAGAAACTCAGGTTTTTTGCCTTGCCATATATAAAACTTTTCTGTAATATTCCCTACTAACAACAATTTTATTTTAAGATGTTTCTTCACAAGTTTTGTGGCCAGAGACAAAACGTATCTGATGTTGTTTCGGTTATGGCAGAATGCACTTATGGATCAACCTATGCCTGGCCCGGAAATGTGGCAGTGGGTAAGCTAATTGTGTCAATTTGGCATGTTTTGCTTGTTGGTATACAGTGAAATCCCCTTTGGGCGGACACCAACGGGACTGACAACAAAAATCGTGTTTTTAATGAAAACTTAATGTTTTAAAGAAACGGGGACATTTAAAACGTATATGAATATAAATGGTTTCAAAATAAACAAACAACTTTAAACTTAAGAAAGAAGGTTTGTTACCTTTGGATATACGGTATACGGACATACGTATAATATATGAATGTGTGTCCATACATATATTATATAGGAGCACAAAACAGTGAAAGAAAAAGTCACTTTAAGGACGCCAAAATTCATATATTGTCGTTTGTCTCCTATTTTTGCTTAAAATGGTGCATTAAAGTCGTATTTCTAATTTAGAAACAAGCTCCAAAGACCAGACATGATTTTCGACAACATTTTTGAGCTGCTTGGTCAGGGTAATAGATTAACCATAATTTCTAATAGCTTCTGCTGGTACTTAAATCTCATCGATATCAGAATCTTCGGAAATTTCTTGAATTTCAACCGGATTTTCAATTTCTTGGCCTGAATCCGGATCTTCAACATACAAACTCTCATCTAGGTTCAAAAAATCATAAAGGTTTTCATTGTCAGTCAGTTTCAATAAATTATTATTTTTGAGGATATCTGAAAGTACAATAAGTGGTAAGTGATGATCTGGGTCAGGTGTATCAGCCTTGTTTAACTAGTATTCACTTTGTATATTTTCATGCTTAAATCCTGCGTTGTGGACGAAATTTTGCCCTGTTCTTTGGTTATTTGGTCCCAAGCGGTTTTTGCTAAATAAACTGCATCCAATGACCTAATTTTCTTTATTAACTGAAAAGCTGTACCTGCAGTTTCAATGTTTACTAGCAGGAGTTTGAGTATTAGGCTTCGGTAATAAGTTTTAAACCTCTTTATCATCCCTTGGTCAAGTGGTTGACAAGCTGATGTACAATTGGGAGGCAAAAATGTTTTCTTTTTTCTTTGACCATTTTCCAATCTAGGTCTTCCAACCACTCTGTTGTCTTGTTTTCCTAGCTTTCTTATTGCATTTACAAGTTACAGGCAGGTCATTTATGTTCATGTTTTTGAAAGCTCTGGGTTTAGCTGCCTTACCACTGACTAGGAGTTTTTCTTTTTCATATTTTCACAGTGCAAAATTGTAAACCGCTCTTCGGGATACCTACCCCCTACATATCTTTCCTTATTTAGTGTGAACGTTTTGTCGGGCAGAGCCTTAAATTTCAGGCCTGTCTCATCGGCATTATAGATGTCTCTCGGTGAATATCCCTTAATCGAAGAAGGAATTTTTCCCAACAACGATGAAATATCTTCAGCATTAATCAAAGCTCTTTCTCCCTAAATCGCTTTAAAACTTATATTGTGGCGAACTATAAATTTATTGAATCAACCAGAAGAAGCACTTAATGTAGAATGTCCCAGAGAATCGGCTACTTATTTTGCTTTGCATCGTATCAGCGGAACTAAAAAAATAGGTTTTTTGCGTTTTTGTCACGACAAACCTATTGATAATCTCACTTTTTTATCAGTTTTATAATTTGTAATGAAAATCAACGCATTAATTCAAAAAGCCTTTTCTAAAAGAATAGTGTGCATACATACCTATCAAAGGAATCCCCTTATGACGAGCTGCTATAAACCAGTCCTAACATAACTTGTCAATTTTGGTACCATCACCCGTCAAAAAGCTTCTTTTCAAATTGCTGTTCGACGTCCATTTCTTCAGAATGATTTCTTGATGTTTAATTATATCTGCAGTTTGTGTTTTTTCCAATATTAAAACGCTCGGATAATTTTACCTTACACTTAACTTCTCCTTATTGTGAACTTCAACAATGAGAGTCGGTAGGGACCATGAGAAACTGTCGGTTTAAAGGAGGTGTCCGTTTAAGAGGGGTGTTCGCGAAAGGGAATTTCACTTAGGGATCCTATGATCGGAATTCCTGTTCGACATTGCAGTTGACCGTGACAAAATATTTGATAGCTCATACGAGAAATATCAATTTTGCTACTATGTAAGGTTTAAATAAATTTCAACTTCTTCATGAAATCATTATGGTAATTACTACATCTGCCAGCTCATTGCTTGTACATAAAATATGGATTGGTTGAGGTACTATAGGCTGATATATTTTTGGTTATTTTTAGGTTCATCAATGGTATGGGAGTGAGCTTGGTTTAACAAGTGACGACGAAGATTACATAGCACCAGACGAGGATAAATTATCAGCTAGATTGTCACTCGAGTCTTTTTCAGAGGTATGTTGTACAAATATGCAAAGAAATAGAATCACTCAACAGATAATCGCGAAGTCATAAAATGGAATCTACATATAGTTTTTAAAATCGATTTATAAAAGTGCTCGGTTTATTCAATACTTACCATAAAATCAATGGCCTTAAAATGTTATATCGACAGAAATTTAGATGGCCATTATCTAGTGAATTCGAGTGGTATTCAAACGTTTGGTATGCATCCGTGTTTTGTGGTATGTTCCGGTACTCGTCATACCCTTGGATAACCCTTTCCGTACGGTTTTGTCGTCGTATTGACATCTGAGACATCTTGTGTGTTCCACTGGAATGTTTGGTTTTTCTTTTGTGAATTTGCTCTTGTAATTTGAAATACATTGACTCTGAAGATGTCTGTGCCGAGAACACTTCGGTTTTCTGATCGGTCCCATTAGTAGCATCGCCTCAATGAAGGCGATAACCTTCTTGACTTGGTTAAGAATGGCCTACAGAAGACACCAAAGCGCAATAATCTCTCCAGAAGAGCGCCTATTAGTGACTTTGCGTTAAGTACCAGAGTCAGTACAGTTTTGCATTGAGTTATGATGGTGATTATGTTTTTGTTAAGGTTCAAGGTCACTTGTTAAGCAGATGGTCAAATATACGAACATCATCGATAGTCTGTATTTATAATAATAATCTTTATTAATGTTGGGCATGCCAAAGCACTCACATACGCAAAAAAAGAAAAGCTTTCAGTAAACAAAAAGTAAACACTCTGCATTGATACTAAATTAAACAAACCAGGCACATTCAAAAGATAAAAATACCGACAAGTCAAATCACACGTAATTACACTAATACATATATATATATATATATAAGGTATATAACAAAAATAGGAAAATAATGGTCAAAATCCGCAAAAAGTGGATTCGAGCAGAAATAGGATAGGTAACCCGAGCGATACGTATTTCTGCTGGTTGGCTTCATCAGGCCCGAAATGAATGCACATATGCAACTACAAAAGTAGATACACATGCCCACACATCCGGATACGGGTGTAATCTGAGGAAACGAAGATGGAGAGGAAAAAAAGACACACGAAGTCCACAGCAAGAGCCAACCTACACATTGTAGTATAAAATGGCTAGAAGACCTCGAATTTTCAAGGCGACAAATTCACCGGAAAAAAATTTTTCAAAAAAATCACAAGAGATCAAAAAAAACTCTAGGGAAGAGTGTTATTGCAACACTAGGTACCATGACATAAATTACACGTACAACATATGTTAAGATTTTATTTCTTAATTCTTCTATTGTTTCTATGGGAGTAGCGTAAACCATCGTCTTAGGGTGTCCCCATAAATAAAAATCTATTCCAACCCAATTTTCTCCAAAGGTGTTATTCAGATGAGCTCTGTCATATATTAAAACGAGAAGGAGCTCCATCGTGCATAAAACTTATTTGGTTACGTACATTTAGAGGAACTTTTTCTAGCAGTACGGGAAATTCTTGTTGGAGAAACTCTAATTAAGATTCGCCGTTTAATCTTAAGGGTAAAAAAGAAAGGACCATTTAAATTGCCACCAACAATACCCATCCACACATATAAAGAGTGGTGGCGACAATGTACGTAAGCATGAGGATTTTCTTCACTCCATACATGAGTGTTATTACCATAACCGTAATTAACAATACCATCCCTGCTTTGTCCGTAAAAAAGTATGGTTTTATTAAAACTCCTATTATTATTGACCTTTGGTAATACCATTGACAACCTTGTAAACGGGGTAGAAAATCTCTTGGTATCAATGCTTGCACACGTTGGACATGATAGGGATACAAAAGTAGCTCGGAGATAACCTGCCACATAGTGCTGTTGGAATGGAATGATTACCCCCTATCTAGTTGCTATTGTCCTGGTACTGATACCAGTATTTTGTTCCTGGGCAGGTGAAACTGACTCGTCCAATTCAGGCGTTCTTACGGATCTCGGCTGGCCTCTTATCATTGGTGGGAATGGCAAAACTTCCTAAATAACATTATTGGCAAAAACATCATGAAAAGGGTATAAGAAAATTACCTCTTTCCCGTAATCTACGGTCTGCGTTTTCAAAGGTTTTACTATCTGGAAGTTGCCGATGGGGAAACGCTTCTTCATACAGGCGCCCCCGCTACATAACAGTTACTATAAGCACGTGCATACATTACGCGATGCAGAGAAGTTGTATTTTTAGATGCTTAATCAAACAACAAACATTAAAGTTACAAAAAAGGCAGTGGCGTACATTTTTTTGCCAATAATATTCGCTAAGGTGCCCCCGGGACGTCACTGGAACTAAGAATTTTAATCTATTTAGGGCTAAATTAGCCTCTTATTTCAACAGAACTGAGTATATATTTTTCAGGATACTACTACATTTTTTTTTTCAAATTTATCACCCTGTATCTTTCCGGATCCATGTTTACAGAAACTTTTTCATATTTTTTTAACAAGGAATCGCCCTTTAAAATATCTCCGTCTATTGTTCGAGCACCCTGTATACTGTGTTTTTGTAATTGTCATAGTTCTTACCGAAAATATATTTATAAACGTTTTGAGATCTTTTTCGATTTTGGTTTTTAGTGTATGCCACTTGTTACTTTCATAGGGAATAGCTGTATTATCCGCAAAACCGCTAACTTTAGCACTACTCATTTTGAACAAATCGTTGATAAATAGATTGAATAAATTGGGCCCTAATACTGTACCTCGGGGTACACCGTACATATGTTATGGGGTTCACTAAATCTGTTATTAATTTGGATGCTATCAGCTGTTTCGTGGACGCCATATTTTTGGAGTCATCATTTATTTCTCTAGTTTATTCGCCTTGTCTAACGGACGTATAGAGAGTCGTTCCTACAATATTTGTAGGACGCCTTTATGGCCTCCTTGATTTTCGTAGTTTTTCAGAAAGGTAGAGGTATTTTTACATTTTTACTGTTTCGAGTCAGTGCTCTATTTTGAGAGGTTATTTCAGGCTGATTTGAACTTGATTTTTATCATTGTTTTATCAGCTTGAAATTTCTTAAGATTCAAAAATAAAACATACCCTCACAATAGGCGAGTGCTGACCCTGACACGGAACAGTAGAAATCTAGAAATATCCAAGCCTTTCTGAAGTATGGAAAAGGCTATGAAAATCAAGGAGGCCATAAAGGCTCCTACAATAATTGTAAACGAATGACGTTACGGCCCTAACTATCTTCTCTAACCCTCTGTATAAGAAAGGACTGTCTCGTTCTGTTTTGAAATTTTTGAACGAATCAGATTGTCTTCCATCAGTGGTGACGTGGTGGTGACATGCCCCATGTTATTCGCTGTCTGGTTCGCGATAATGGATTTGAACGACGATGACGACGAAGAGATAACCCCATGGGATGATTATTGTTTGCAGGACATCGCCACCTGCATAGGCGTCGAGGCACTAAGTGTCAACTCGGACATATCTATCGCCATGCCGAGCAGGACGGAACCGGTCGCTTTGGAGGCGGCTTCGTCTCAACCGTCCATCATCACTCGTCTGAGCACGACCTCAGATACGCGCATGGTGGGCGAATACACAGATAACTCAGAAACTGATGATGAGAAGCCGAGACTGTAAGTACTTAAACCTTCAATTGTTTACGATGCTGCCATGTTAAGTATAGGCTATTAGTAACACTACATTTGAGCGCTTAAAGACATAAATTCTTGTTTTTTTCGGAAAACATTGAATGAACCAGTGGATGATCAGTTTTTAAGGAAAATAGATTTGAAACTACACGGTCTGGCACACACGTCGGACGGTTTTTAAAAAATCACAAAATTGGTATTTTTTACTCAAAAAGAAATTTATTGACGGATTTGGGTTCACAATGGAATAAGCGTTTGTCACAATTGAGTGTGGAAAATCTCATCAGTCATGTGGTCACCGTTTTTGACGATGCATTGCTGGAGATGTTCTTGCAAGTTAACGTAAATTATCTCCAACATCGTTCTCTCAGCTTGGGCGACTTCCACGCGAATTGCCTCCTTCAACACGTCCATTGTTCAGCGCTTGTGCTCGTATACAAGAGCCTTAAAGTATCCATATAGGAAAAAATCGCAGATGGATAAATCTGGGGACCGAGGATGAAAATGAACATCACCAAACCTGGAAATAAAGCAACCACGGACGAGAAGGCGAATATGTAACGTTCATCGTTGCTCTGTTGGAACCACACACGTCGGAATGGAACACGTCGTCGTCGTAATTCAGGTGAAAAGAAGTTGGTGATCATTTCGACACAGCGCTCCGAGTTCACGGTAACAGCATTGCCATTACCGTCTTCGAAGAAATAAGGGCCGATGATGCAAACCGTCACTTTTGGGGTGTGCAGCGGTCTTTCATGTAACTGTCGCGGATTTTCATCAGCCCAATAACGGCAATTCTGCTGGTTAACCATGCCATTAAGATGAAAGTCAACTTCATCACTCATGAACAAAATGAGGTGTCATTTTGCTCGATAAGTGCTTCCATCTCAAGTTCATTCGTTGTGCGTAATCTGCAGGGTGTAACTGTTGCACAATGGCCAGTTTATAGGGATGAAAGTGGAGTTTCATATGCAAAATGCGCTTTACCGAACGATCACTGAGGCGGAGTTCAGCAGCATGTTGTCGAGCAGATTGAGCTGGAGGACTGCGAAGGAGGGCTTGACGAACGCGTTCCACATTTTCAGGGTTTCGAACCGTTTGTGGAGCCCCTGGTGGCCTTTTGTTTATCAGTGCGAAGTAATTGAACCCCACGAAGGTTGGTGTTTCGAGAAGGAACAGCTCGATCCGGATGAATATTGAAGTGGCGACGGCTGTACCACCGTGATATACTCATTACGTCGGACAAAACATCCGTCCTTTGTGCCGCACCCTGTATAAAAAATCGTTGGTTTTTGCAAAAAAGGTTCAGAACTAGCCGTGTCATAAGCTAAAATAAAAGTTCAAAATACCGTAAATGATGGTCTTCACTTGGTAAACTGTGTAGAGGTGTTATGTTGTGATTTTTCAATGTATTCTTGAAATTCCTTAATTTTTTTTTCGCATCTTTTCAATGAGATCAAAGTTTTTCCGTTTATGATTGATGTTTGAAAGTAGAAACAATTCTCAATGGCCATTTCATAACGTTCATTTCTTGACAGATAAGACAAATGCTGTTGCTATGTGGAGAATTACGTAATCAAAAAATGAGATTATTTGCAAAATAAAAATCTTAATTCTAAATGGAAAATTACAAGGGTGGATCAAATATAAACCGGAATTCTTTTTTTAATATTTATTTATTATTTTTCTATGTAATCTTCTCCACGCTCTACACGTTTTGTCCAGCGATTTGAAAGCTTACAAATTTCTTGCTTGTGGAAACTTGGAGGTTGAGTGACCAACCACGAAGTTCTCCACATCTCGATCTTTGTCAAATCGCAATCCGCCAAGTGCATTTTTCATGTGCGCAAACAAATGATAGTCACAGGGTGACAAATCAGGGCTGTATGGAAGATGCTCAAGAGTTTCTCAATGCATATCTTCCAGGTTTTGCTTCGTTTCAGCGGCTGTATGTAGCCTCACATTGTCATGAAGGACGGTGACATTTCTGATGCGTCTGTATGCGGTATTCGCTACCTCCAACAGCTGGCAGTAGTAGGTACTAGCACAGCCGACGTCAACTACGAGCCGTGATGAAAGAAAGGCAACACCGCGCTCGGACGGCATGGTAGTGCTACCTGTGAACGTCGGCCGGCTGCGGCTGTGTGCTCCGTCTCCGTGTAACGTTCAAGAACTAAATTTAATTTTGGAAAAGAGGACAGTTCGATTCAATACAAATCGTCTGAATATGAAATAGCTCTAAAAAATTTAAAAATACGAAATAATCGTGATATGAGTCGCTAATGCAGTTAACCTAATTAAAAGTATTAAGTTTACGTTTTTTTTTGTCAGCACACTGTGTTCCAACAGGCCCAGCTTGGAAATGTGGAGTTACCTGTTTGTTTTTAATACATTTACTTTCAGTTTTACTGTTATTTTTCAATTTTACATAATCATTCAAAATTATGTTTAAAAAAATAGACAAAAGCTTAGATAAAATATCTGCATAATTGCGGCCACAGATGCAAGTTAAAGAAAATTCACTGTAAATAAAGTCAGACTGAATGCTGGTCAGGTTAACTGACAAAATAAATTTTTGATTATTGCTTTTCAAGAAGAAAATTTCCAATCTATCTACATTAATAATAGATTCAAAAATGGCATACATATGGTAGAATATGATTGGTACATAACTGGTTGGAATTGACAGTCCTCCTCTTTGCAAATAATCAAAATAAACATTTGTTGTTAATGAACCTTTTTCTTTAACTATTAGCGATTTGCATATCTCGCAGTTTAGGTTTTTAGAGATAGCGTGTGAAGCATATCCAGATATATAAGTCTTAGTACTATCCTCTATGTCACAATTGGCTAAGTAATTTGTCTCAAATAATTCATTGAATATATCCAAAACTTCAGGATTTTGTTTGGTATCCAAGAAATCAAAATTTTCTTGAGTTTCTAAGCAGTTTTGGAACCTTGTTTTAATTTCTGCTAAAGAAAATGACGATTTCTTTTCATTGAAAATATGCTTCAGCCGTATTTTCTTTTCAGCATTTAAAATTTCATCATATGACACATTGTAATTGCAGCCACATAGAAGTCTATAATTGCCAAATCGTTTTTCTAAATTATCAGTGGTGAATTTTCCAGGCAATACATACTCAATGTGAAATTGTTTAAATGAATATTCAATTATATTAAGTAGAGTCAGCGTGCTTTGATATAGAGCTGTATACATTTCTGGTGTCAGGTGTCCATTATTATTCTCTAGATTATGCCATTTTTCTAACCATATCAGGAATTTTTAAAAAAATTGTACTCTATAATCATATTTATTGGTAATAGGCTTACAAAATTCGTTTCGCTTCAATTCTCCTTTTATTACACTTGTATTACTGACAATATCCCACCAATTCCTGATTATTTCCAAAAAGTGTGCAGCATCATTAAACTTTAATTCTTTCATAGCAGCTATTGTTGAGTGATGGAATAAATTATCTACAAAATTTACATTTTGCCTTTCAAATGAATTTGGATGCAATGTTTTATAATTTAATTTATATGCTTTCTTAACTACAGCTTCTTTTTCCAATTGATATACAGCACGAATGTTTTCAAATTTAGCATACTGAATAATATCATTATTGTCAAAATTAGGATATACAAAAGTTTTGTCTAGGTTTTTTAAATTAATCCAATTATTTCTGATTCTGAAAATATGCACAACATCATAAGTTAAATATATGTTCTTATCAGGATTATGTGGATTTGGAATAGAATAATTTTCTGATGAATCCTTTGCTAATTTCCTGAACATTGCTCTATTAATTCGGTGATTATCAGTAACAACACAAATAACTTCAAATCCACATTTTTGAACTAAATTTATCACATGTTCAACCAAAGGTGTCATTTCATCACCTGTTAGATTTGAAACTGTCAGTAATTTGATAATTTCTGTTATGTTTCCAAATGCTGAAGGCTAAAACAGTTTTAGCCATGTCATTTTTATTTGAAATTTGAAAAATACAACCAGAATTTGCACGTTTTCAATAGTTGAAATCCTTAGCGTCCTGAGGCGCGAACAGCCACAGTCACACTTCTTAGTTTATTTTTAAAGCACAGAAGCACTACAACTGGAGTCTATTTCTCATATATTATAGTCACCGATCACTTTGAACACATACACACACTTTGAAGTTTAGAAAACAAGCTTATCTCTTAATTACAGCCTCTGCGATTCCAAAATCACAAATTGAAAAGGTTATGTTTTCTCAGCGTTTTGAGCGGCGGGAGTAACACTACCACCTACGTTGCCAGATTTCTTTGTTCACGGCTCGTAGTTGACGTCGGCTGTGGTAGTAGTAACCGTACGTCGGTCGAGCAACACTCCCTTACAGTCGAAAAAGACGGTCGCGAGGACCTTACACGGGACTGGTGTCGTCTTTCGTTCGCCATTCTTTACTCGCTATCTTGGACTCGGGAGTGTAGTGATGCACCCTTGTTTCATCACACGATATGATTAAAAAAAGTCTACTGATGTGCAGTCGGATGTTTTTTTGATCTTCGTTCAGCAACTTCGGCATCCATCGAGCATAGATTTTGTTGAAGCCAAGATGCTGTTTGGTGATTTTTTTCTTGGACCAAGCGAATACCTGAGTATTAGACAGGGTATCATCCCCATACTGAGCCTTCAATCGAGCCAAAATCTCCCACGATTTAACACGTTTTTTCGTCAAAAACTGTATTATAACTCGTTGCACAACGGACGGTGCAACCGGTTTCCGACTCGTGGCTGTACTGATGCATTGACTGAGTGGAACAGCTCACCACGCGTCATCTCCACTCCTGATACACTACACTGCAAGGATCTACACTGTGAGAGCGCTTGTGATTGGCTAAGAAAAGTATTTGTAAACTTCCTGTTCATATTTGATCCACCCTCGTATAAGTGAACATCGGAATACAGTATGTGGTTGGGGATCTTCTTGCAGTAAATGTTA